GTATATACCAGCGTGATCGTCGCCTGGGTGTTGACGACTCCCATTAGGAGCGTCGGGTGGGTGTTCCTGACGCAGGTTTGGCGCGTTCTATCCATGAACCTCGAAATCTGTGGAGAGTGTGCCGCTTCTTACCGACACACTCTGCAAGACCGTGAATTCCGCCAGCTACGCGGTTCGGTGTACGCTTTCGCGGCGTGGAGCGTTTTCTTTAACGCACCTACCTGGGTCCTTCAGGACGAGGATGCGAGATACGGTGCTTATGGGAGGATGCTCCGCAGTTGGTGGATGGCATGCAAGGTCACCTTCGCCGAGTACCTACCTAACGTGCTCGTGGACACCAAGGGCTCCGCGAAGCGCTACTGGAACGCTTCATGGGAAGCCAGCCGGGCTACTCTACTTCGTTGTTATGGCGTTGGCGAGTTCGTCTGCTGGGTCGCGTTGCTGTGCCTGTCGTTGCTGCTGTTCGTACCTATTAGCCTCTACGACCTAGTGGAGTTCGTCCTACAAGGACCTATCGGTGTCGCCATCGGACTTATGCTGCTAGTGACGTACGACTACTGTTACGAATGGACTCGCCGGGACCTGCTAGGACCTCTTATCGTCGTAGTGACCGGTGTGATTTCGCACGCACTGCGTCTGTGCGAAGGGGATAACCCGCTGCTTTCGATGGCTCCCCAGAGTGTGGTCAGTCAAGCTTTGTCTAACACTCAACTGAACGCTTCGAAGCGTAGGCGTGCCGAGGCTCTCTGCTTGGAACGCTTGCGGTACAAGAATGGTATCGAAGTGTTACACGACTTTCAAGCTGCGGAAGAAGATGCCCCTACTACGGAAGCGTTCCTGGGTAGCTCCTATGGAACCGAGCAATCGTCGGACCATCCTATCGACCTGTCGGGTGCGCCCGAAACAATGGCTCGCCTGCGCCGCCAGCATTGGCCATCCGTTCGCCGAGGACGGCAAACTCCAAGTCGGGGAGTATGTCCCGTACCCGGGAATGTAGGTGTCGTGCCAGGCGCTGGCGGGCAGGCTTTTGTGCCAAGGGATCTCGGCGAAGGTCAACGAGCTGTGACGGTGGGCGGCTGGTTCCCGTTGACCCCGCAAGCTCCCACTCACTTCGCACATGGGACCGGTGAAGTTATGGTGTGATTGTATTGGAACGCTACGATGGAGTACAGGAACGGTGTGTGAGTTTCCTCCTATCGTCCTACGTGGCTGGGGACAAGGCCGGATGCGCAAGGTGGACCGCGTCTCGGACCTTCCTGTCGCCGCACGAGGACGGATGTCATGGAGAAGGACTCTTTTGATCAAGATAAACTGAAGCGGTGTCGTGTATAGGAAAGCGAGTTGGCGGTAGGCCCTCGTTAGTCTCAGTCTTACATTTACTACCTCTTGCCTAAGCTGAGTGAGAGAAAGAAACAAGAAGCTTTTTGGAGTATTAAGTTATCTTGTGCTACCGTTCCTGCCACTGCTCGAGACCGTACTCCCTAAACAGCCGCGGACTACCCGACCCTAGAGGTGGTGTACGACAATCTTACACCAGCAATCATGGTCTGGTGGGACCGTTCTGCACTCCATACCCTGCACGTGGAATCTAAAGGGAAGCTAAAGGTCAGTTGTTTATACGGTTCATTTTACTACTATTATGCGATGGCAGTAGTACCGGTAGATGATGCGGCTTCTTATAAGTGGTACTTTGTACTTGAGTCCCTAAAAGAGGCCCCTGGGATAATAAAGTCCCTCTTATAGCAATTATTAGTGCAATTTCCTTCATTTAAGGTCCGGCGAATTAGGACTGACGGAGGGACTGAGTTTCTAAATAAGGAAGTTTCTTGATTGGGTTCAAACCTAGGGTTGGAGCTTCAAAGTTCAAATGCTGAATCCCAAGAAGAAAATGGTGGCTCTGTTACCTTATTGCAAACCATTTTCTGTAGGACATTCTTCGGTCCTTCGTGGCAAAACAAGTCTTACAAAAGAATGTGAATTCTCTTTTGTTTACATAACATATTACACCAAGTTTTAATATGGTAAGTTTATATCATTATTACCTGTAAACCTTTTCCCCGGAGTTCATTTGAAATTTGTAGTGAATCGATACCTACTTTATTGGTGTGTACAAAATCTCGAATTACCGTAGCGTCGTAGTCATAAGCGTCGTTTACTTCTAAGGGTCAGACTACCAAAATCCAATCAGAAAGCGGTATTTCTGTCAGGTGGTTTTGTTACTTACATTTGGGGTGACAGTTAATTTTAGAGTCAGTTAGGATAAAACAACGCTTCAGTGTCAGAAAAACACCAGCCAACAGAGCCATCATGGCTCAGCCATGGGCCGCCCTCGTATAAATGGGCAAGGCAAGAAGCGAAAGTCGTATCAACGCACAGCGGTGGAGTATTCACACAAGAGGGATGTTCTAAATTACAATGAAGAAGGTCACAGTCTTGATGAAACGATTGCACACTTCTACGGTGAGCTGACCGATGCTGCAGTACGAGCTAAAAAGAAGCAGATCAACAAGTGGGCCAAACAGTCCGCTGATATCCGTGCTGCGTGTGAGTCGGGACGCGGCAGGCACCAAAATTTACGTAGTCTTGGTGATGCAACTGAAGGCGGCCGAAGCGTCGATCGTCCTTTGGCTCAACTCCCTACGCAAGGATGGCGCACCTGTGTCGCGACTCATGTGGCAGCTAGAGGCAAAAGAGACGGCTTCTGACATTGGGCTTGGGGACAAATTTGCTGCCTCACCGACGTGGATAAAGCTTTTTCTAAAACGGCACAAACTGTTTCTTCGTGCACGTACGAGGCAGAGCCAAACGACACCAGAGGACGCTCTAGAAGCGGCTAGATCGTTCCGGGCATTGGTGCTGCCGACAATAACCGACAGGCAGTGTGTACAAGTATACAACGCAGATCAAACGGGTACGGTACATTTTTTTTAAATGTTACTATTATTTTGTTTTGCTGAGGAACATGCACTGTAGCCGTGAATTATGAGTACTTGCCAAAACAGACTATAGACCAGAGTGGTGCTAAGACGGTATGGGTGAGGTGTGGTAATAAAGAGAAGGCTCGAGCTACAAGGTAATAAGTTGGATACTTTTCTAGTATTTAAATGCCTACCTTCAACAATAACGACCAAACGCGTCGAGAATGACGCTCTGCGCCATGGATTTAGTCCAACAATGTGGAATCGCGAATTTAGTCCATTACAAAAACGACTTAGCTGCAGAATTTACGGAAACAAATGCGCGTGGTGGAATTTAGAGTTGTCTGTCAGATTTCTACAATTTCATTTTGCTGAGCGAGCGAATCTGGATGAAAACATTTTAATAATCTGGGATGACTTTAGCGGGCACTGGACCGATGAAGTCGAGGAATACGCGGCATCGATTAACGTTGTCCTTCTCAAAGTCCCACCGAGAAACACTTATGTCTGCCAACCGGCAGACATATCATGGAATAAGCCTTTTAAAGCTAGGCTACGCACATTGTGGGTTTGCTGTTTACGAAACCAGCTTGTAGAGTATCGCGCTGCAGAAGAACGACGCCAGCACAAGCGAGAAGAGCTTTATTCGTTGATTGCACGAGCTCGCAAAGATTTGACCCAAGAACGGGCCGATGACGAAGTCAAACGACTTCAAGATTTGCACACAGAAGATTCGCTCAAATTAAAGCCACCTAATCGAGCTGACATCACTGAGTGGGTTTCGACGTGTTGGACAGATCTTTCAAAGGAGACAATTGTAAGCGGTAGCGGATCTGACGGATATCGAGATTGCATACATTGACAGTGGTATTGTCGAAGAGCTGGAGAATTGCAACCTTGCCGACGGCCATGTCGATTCGGACGATGACATCGAATCTGACGATGATCTAAACAGCAATGTCGAATAATTACATTGCACGTATTTCCTTCCCAACGTTTCGTAAAACCATGATTTGCTCACATCTGTCTGTGCATGCGATGTGAAATCTTGCTATTGAAGTGACGCCTAGGACTACGACGATACGGTATACCAGGATTAAAACCTGTGGGATTTTATTATCAATACCGGAGTAGCGACTTTACCTGTAGAAGCACCCGCGGAGCAGCTTTCTAACATCTAGCGCGTGCAATTGGGTATAGCGCTGAGAAGAAATAGCGGCATTCCCAGCGAAAGTCGCAAGACGATCTAGTCGCTGACAACACTGTGCCGCCAACTGACGCAGTAGCTGAGAATAACTGAGAACAGCAGTCTGGGTGATTGTCAATTACTATGGCTGCCCGCTCCGGCCTGGAGTTCTGGCCCAAGTCGCTGGCGTGAGCACATGCTGGATATCCCAATATACGCAATAAATAGCGGCCTAAGGCCGTTGAAGGCCACCGGCCTTCAACGCGCGCGCTTCTACATCGAGTTCATGCCAGCAGCTAGAAGAAACTTTGCTTCAAAATTAAATTAGATATTCACTTCTAGCGCTTGGCATTCGCCAACACACCGTTCTGATCGGTTTCGAATTTCTCGAGACGACTCTTATCGCGCACCTCGCCAGGCCACGGTGGTGCGTGGCTGTGGAATGGAAATTGATGTCACTGGTTTGCACTTTCGGCCCCCGTAACTCGGTTGGCGGAGGCTTGTAATTTTCTCGACTCGAGCGTCTTCATCTTCACTTGGAATCAGAGTCGGGTGCTCCGGGAACAACGCTGCAAGAGAGCTGAGCGCAAACGGTAGCTTCGCCTTGGATAGCACGCCACCACCAGAGTTGGACGGTGGGGAAGTCGCAGCTGAGGAGGCGGGGAAGGGCATTGCAAGTGCGCGCTCGAGTGCAAATTCGATTGTGGCTGTGGCCAGGGAACTGGTGCACACGCTCGGGCCAGTGCAATCAGTTAAGCTACATACGAAGTGCGTTGAGGCAACGGAAACTTCTCGTGGAAAGCAAATTAAAACCAATTAGATACCGTGTTTCAAAAACTCACGATGAACGGTTTTTAATAGCGAGTTCTGTTTTATTTCAGACACCGTATGCAACTTCAACAAACTGGTTGGCGCCAAACATGGAAGGTGTGGTCGTAGAAGGAGGCCGAGCCCACCACAGGCACTTTGGCATGTAGAGCCGCTGGATGCAGCCACCAGTCCACGCCGTACGCGAGCGACTCGTGGCGGTCATAGCTCGCGGCCTTGTGCAGCTCGGTCTGGTTCTTCGTCAGCTCCAGCACCTGGAAGCCGTTGTGCATGCATGCGGCCAGTAGCAGCTCCTACGAAGCAAGAGGGGGGGGATAAGTGCACGAATGTCACTAACAAGCCATTACTTGCTGTTGCTGTACCTTGCGGTTGTCGGCCGGGTGCCATTTGAGTCGCCAGACGCCGCCACCAAAGCTGTGTACGGCCAGTGGGCGCGTCATGCTGCGGTGATCCCAGATCGCGACCTGCTCATCGTAGCTGCCCACGGCAACCAAACGCTCGTCGTTTGGATGGAACTGGATGCTGCACACGCCCATGGAGTACTGCCGCGTGTTCTTGAAGGTCGGAGCTGAGGTGCCCGCGCGTAAATCCCATCCTTTCAGTGCTGCGTCGTCTGCGCCCGAGAACAGCACGTTCGAGTCGTTGCAATTGAAGGCTGCGATCCACGCCTCTATAGGCGAGCCGAACAAGTCGTGCGCACGCCACTGAATGTCAAAGCAATCAAGCGCCAGTTAGGCCTCGTTTCATCTAAGGATACCCTTCAGCAAGCGCGCGTTTTAACGAGAGAAAACCGCCTCAACTTATTCACACGCTGCAGGTATTCAAGCAGAAACCGATTGAGACCATACCTTATCTGTCTGGACGATGCCCTGTGACGCGATGTCCCAAACCGACAGTGCGCTGCGACGGGGAGAACGTTCACACACACACGAGAGGATGTCAGCGTTCCGAAACCTCTCTTGCAACGGCAGGTAAAGTGATTCTTACCCGTCCGAGTGGCTCACGCAGATGGACGGCTGGGTATTCGAATGCACGCGATTGCTCCAGTCCAATGACAGGCACATGGAGGCAGCGTCTGCGTCTGTAGTCAGCCCAGAGCGGCGCAACTTCTGTGCGCCACCTTCACGAACCAACTCGTACAGCTCCAATGATCCGGCAGCCGTAGCGGCACCCAGCACCGCTTTGCCATTCATGGCCTCTGTATTCCACTTAATGTCAAAGATACCGCTAGAAGTCGTGGTCTCTTCCAGCTTTTGCACGGAGACGTTTGCGCCATCGGTACTGGCCTCGTCGTCGCAGGTCAACTGAAAGTGCTGGAGCGTGCCGCTACGCTTGTCCTCAGACTCTCCTATCTCCGCTGCCTTATGGAGCTGATAGGTGGCCACCACCATCGATGACTCAAATCCTTCCACAGGGCATGACTCCACGCAGTCCGCTGTCTCCACAGTGTCGAATGTTGCCAACGTCGCGTCCATGTTGCAGACTTGGAAAACTTGCTTGGTTGAAATTGCCGCAACACTTGCGTTTCGTAAGTGTGGGCTATTTTAGCAATTTCTTTGTTTCGCGTGTCATCTCAATCCATTCAAAAACTGGCAAAATGAGCAACGTCAACGACGGCGATAGCAGCTCCGAGGAGGAGAACGATTTCTTTGGTCGCATGGAAAGTGACGACCTTTTTGAGGAGACCGAGACACAGCAGGCAAAACGTCGCGAGGCTGCGCGATATGTAGAGCAGTACGCGGAGCGAGACTGGGGACTGGCTGCCAGACAGCGGCGGGTTCAGGGTGCCGACAAGGACATGGTGATGGAGAGCTCCCTCGTGCTCCGAGTCGACAAGAAAGTCGTCTTCCAGGAGAAGCAGGGACAGCAGGCCAAGGTCTGGGACTGCGCATTGGTGCTAGCCAAGTTCCTGGCCAACGACGCATTCTTCCCACATAGTTTTTTCGTGAACAAGCGCGTGATCGAATTGGGCTGCGGCATCGGCGTGCCGGGCATGGCTGCAGCTGCACTTGGAGCGAAGGACGTTGTACTGACCGATATGGTACGAATTTTTGGTTGTTGACGATCGGAAGGTCAGTTGCTGACTTGTTTCTGGCGTTTATCGTCGCAGCCCATTGCGGTGTCCTGGATCCAAGCCAACATCGAGCGGAATCAAACGCTCGGCTGCATCTCCGGCAACATTCGTGCGCAGGAATTGATGTGGGGAGAAGATGACGATCTTGAGTCACACCGGTTCGACGTCATCCTGTGCTCAGACCTGGTGTACGGCCACCGCGATATCTCCCAGAAGCTGGTGCAGACAATCGTGAATTTGTCACACCCTGACACGCTCATTGTTTCCGCACACGAAGCTCGGTTCGCTGGAGATCGAGGCGAGTCCTTCTTCGTACTGCTATCCGAGCAACAGTTCCAAATCGAACAAGTGTCCCGCGAACGCCTCGACGCCGTCTACAGCGCCGCCAACATGCACGTGCATCTGATTCGACCTCCACTTAGAAATTTTAAATAAAAGACGACATTTTACTCATAAAAACCTTTAAATTAACATGTTCAAGCGTGCAGACACGCAGTGGTGCATTGCCGAAGATGCTGAGCTCAAGAGCTCTCCGCCGCTCGTCGGCGCCGCTGCGGCGACTGCTAAGCTCGTTCGCCGTGGCTGCTCCTTGCTCGCAGTCGCTATGGCAGGACGTATACAACTTGGATGCAACGCACTGTCACGACCCGTTGGTGAGCGAAGGTGACTTGCAGATTATGCTGGACGTGATCACAGAGGACGAAGAGAAGGTCTTGGCGGACGAGTGTTCGCGCATTCTCAAGCGCCGCCGCTACGAGGAGGATCACTGGGACAACGTCATCATCAAATTCAAGGAGATGGAGCGTTCACGTTGGTCCACCGAGACGCAGCGTATTCTCCAGAAGGTCCGCGAGGTGGCCATCCTGCCGAAAGAGCTCACCTACTTCCCGGCTGTCCACGTGATCGAGCTGGCTGAGGACGGCTACATCAAGCCTCATGTGGACTCCATCAAGTTCTCAGGACGTGTAGTAGCCGGTATCAATCTGCTGTCGCCCAGTATCATGAGCTTTAAAGAGGAACACGGAGACTCGATCATCGACGGCTACCTGCAGCGTCGCTCCATGTACATGATGACCGGACGAGTCCGCTACCACTACACGCACGAGATCCTTCCTGGTGCGCAAACATTCAGAGGAGAGTTGCCGGTTAACCGCACGCATCGTATCTCTGTCATGCTGCGTGACGAGTTCCTCGAGGAACACGTCGCCAAGTACCACACGCCGTTCGCAAAGCCAAACATCGAGACGCAGTGAATTGCAATCAGTGTCCAATGCAATTTAATATTAGGGGTTGATTGACTAGCTACATTGTGGCGTCCTGGCGTCCTGTCCGCCGCGTCAAAAAGCGTGCAGTATCTGTGTGCGCTGTCCTCGAGTGTTCGCATAGTGCCGTACCAGCCGATACTTACGAACGTACATTTATCACGAAACGCTGTGGGCGTTGCACCTTCGTCCTATACGTCCAGCACTACACAGTGCTGTGGTACAGTAATACCGAGAGACGACGTCGTACACACGACGACATGGCAAAAATGACCGCGTTTACTCAGACGACGACACGCACGTTGCTCTTAAACTTAGACGATCCATTAGAGCGCGAGCGAGGTTTCTCTGCAAAACGGTAGTCGGCGCGGTTGCTGTTAACAACGCGCGTCTCCTTTTTGGCGGATTGAGCAATGGCGTCGGCCTTGCTGATGCTCTCGAGTGACGATACGATCTCGGCTGCACTCGGTCTTCGCGACGGGTTGTGCGACCAGCATCGAGCCATGAGCTCCGCCCACTTGATATTGCACTGACCGGGCTTCATAATTGGTCGGCAGCCCGACAGCACGTACTCGCTGATCTCGGCGTTCGAGCGCATGTCTGCGTACGGCAATTCTCCTGTTGTGAGCTCCCACATAATCAGACCGAAGCTGAAGATGTCCACGGCCTGCGGACTTGAACTGTCGCTCGGGAACGCTCCCTTGTGGACACGTTCTTCGCCTAACTTGAGCAGTTCGGGCGCTGTCCATCGCAGCAACGCTGAGCGCTCGTCGATACTGTTCATCCTACTCCTATCAAAACCCACGGCCTCGGCCACACGTCGCGTGCCAAAATCCGCGAGTTTGGCGTTCCATGAGTCGTCCACCAAAATGTTGCTGCTTTTAAGTTGTCCGTGGACAAGAGGTGGGTCTGCGCTGTGCAGATATAAAAGTCCTCTGGCCGCTCCAAGGGCGAGTCGTATCCGTAAGCTCCACTTGAGATTCACCTTCTTTTTGGCCGCAGTGTCACTGATCCCGCCTGGTGCACTGGCTGTACTTGCAGACGCTGCCCTTGAGAGCGGCTCTGAGCCTTTACGCTTGTGTCTACTCCTACTGGAAGCCGAGGCTTTGGGGGCGTGCAACACGTTGAACAGCGAGCCGCGCGTACAGTATTCGCTGACGATGCAGAAGTAGTCTTCCTGCAGACAGGCACCCATGAAGAGCACTGTATTCGGGTGTCGAAGACTACCCATGCGTGTGGCCTCTACCTCGAGTTCCATCTCGACGTTCTCCCTGGCTGACGGCTTGGTCGGCATCGAGATCATCTTCATCTTCTTTACGGCCACTACAGAGCCACGGTACGAGCCCTTGTAGATGACACCCGACGGACCTTCGCCGATCACATTGAGACAGACAACTTCGTCGGCCTGGCGATATTTAAGTGGAGCAATAAGTCGCCTAAGAACGTTTTACGCGGTTATCGAGACCAAAGTGAAGACGTACCGCCAATAAAGACGTGGTGCCGAAGGTGGACTGCTCCGTGGACTGCTGCACGTAGCTGTGACTGGTCTCGTCCAGCTCGGCCTCGAGCTCGGCCGCCATGTCGCTATCGGGCAGGCACTTGGACAGACAAAAGCCCATGGTAGTCGCTGTCTGACTGCGGGGCCGACTTTGAGCGAGTGATGCAGCCTCTGCCTGGCGAACGTCGACCGCGTGATTGTATTTTTGACCCGACACCCAACGACGTGACAGCCCAAACCAACACGGATGGACCGGCGCTGCACACATAATTTAATTGAGTGTCAAAAGAGGGCATTTGCGACCGGACAGCGTATTCCGCCCAAAAAGCTGTTTCAAAAGCGCCCAAAACAAAATTGTATGTGCAGAGACGATGCAATAGGGCTGTCTGTACGCTGACTCCCCGCAAAGATTGAAGAGAGGCAACAAATTGTTGCCAGAGAAGAGAAGCACAGCGGCAACACAGCGTTGAACACTGGCGGTCGACGGTAAGACGGAATCCGTCCGTCCGTCACGAATCGTCTTCATTGTCGCTGGAAGCGTAACCTCCACTTCAAAGGTCTACTGTCTACGTCAATCATCTTTGACGTCGACAGTGTTATGTCGCGAGCTGCAGTGCGATTTGGCGTAGGTTATCAAACCCGAAATGTACAGTAACTAAACCGCGTTTATTAATGAGAGTGATTATCGTGCCCGCACAGCAACACGTGCCTTTATTAATACCATGCGCCGATCGCGATGGTTAAATAAAGAACAAATGCTTCGCAGCAGTTTCAAAGCGGTGATTTACCAGCACTGCGTGTGCTGTCGACAGTTCCCAATCTCAGCGCGGTCTGTCTTCAATCTGATTGCGGTCAAGCTTCGGCTTCAAAGCCTAAAAAGCCCGGGCCAGTCAGTGATCACTACTGCAGGATATTCCACCGGCCTTCTTCTAGTTAACTTCTCTTTGCTTCAGTGGCGTTCAGTGAGTTGACCCAATGTGCTTTATCTTCGAGGTCTTGTTCACCGCTGCTGTTGTCCTGGCAATGGACCCCTCGAATCTACCGTCACCAGCTGGCGCGCTCGATGATACGACGAGCGGCATCCTGTGCGACTCACGGACGAGTCCTTAAATGCTACGCTGATGGCCAAAAGTCTTTGCCAAAGACACAAAGATATTTTCTTTCGTCGTCGTCCGCGAGGAACAATAACGCGTATGGATACTCCTTGCCAAAGAGTCTTTGGTTAGGCGCTACGTAATTGTCTGATAGCGGCAACAAACGTTATCACCATGACGAGGGGAGCGCACCATGTGGTTGAATCGCAGCGGCACGACGCCTTTAGCGTAACTATTGACGTGATTGTGATGTTCGACTACGCAATGCATTCCTATTAATAGCCTCTCGTTCCTCTATGCGTCTAATCTGGCCATGCCTTGCTCCTCTGCCAGCTCGAAGCGTAGACGCACTGCAAACTCGGGAGCAAACTGCTTGTGTCCGTGTTTGACGTCCTTTGCAATCTTGTCGATCTCGCTCTTCGCCAGCGCCAGCTCATAATGACCATCCACTTGAGAGATAAACGCGGTGTGGAACCAAAAGTGTCCCAAGACACTACCCGTTCGCCGCCGGAGCTCCACCTTGACCTCATCCCAAACAAGCACCGGGCTGCACCGCATTTCCAATTCCACGGTCTCTTCGCTGTTGCCATCGTCAGTGCTGGGGCGTCGTTGACGCTGGAAGCTTCCGACCAGGTCGTAGACAGCTGCACGAGGGCGAATAGCCCCGCACTCGACTCGTACTCGCCACTCGGCAGCACTAGAACTCGTTTTCTTGTGGCCAGTAACGCCGCACAGCATGACGGCGACAAGCACGAGGTTGACACGAGTTGGGAGCATAGGCTCAGCATGCGGTCTTAGCTTAGATCCAATGATTTTTCGTGGTGAAGAAGGCTCGGGTAGTGTTTGAGTCTCTTGCAGCCATTGTGCATGGTAGTCGGTCAACGCCATGGCTCGCTCGCGAGCTTCTTCCTCCTCGTAGGGTCCGAGCTCTACCAGGTCATCGGCACTTTCAGAGCGACGACATAGCTCGCTGAAATAGCGGACGAATCGCCGCTGGCTCAGAATTGTCACGCCTTGCAGCTTCTTTGAGCGTGCAGCAGCAAAGTACTCGAGTGCTCCGTGAGCAGACCGCCATTTCCGCGCATACAGCATGTAGGCACACAGCATGACTCCGGTTCGGCCTTTGCCAGCCTTGCAGTGCACCGCCACGACATTTTCAGGGTCAGTCGTCAGCCACACATGGACGTCTCGACAGAATGGGAGCAACAGCGACAGAGGGGGTGGGCAATGGTCTTCGAAGCCGAATTCAGCTACCCGTCCGTGGAATTTCTCATCGGGTGCGTACCGGCGTTCCACGCAGAGGTTATACACGCGGTACCGTCCAGGATGGCGCTGTTCGAAGAAGCGAAAGACGTCGCGATAGTGGTTCCGGTAGATACCCTCGATCTTTTCCGCCGGATACCCCAATGCCACGAGCCGCTGGGTGACGTACGTCAAGTCTAAATCAAAGCCGTCGGAGGAGAATCGACGTTTCTCCTTTGACACTAAATGCTTGAGGCGATAGGTGAGGCCCCCAGTGTATCGTCTGGATGAAGTTGGGCTCGAAGAAGGTGATGACATTGGTGACGTCTGTTCGGCGTCGTCGATCTTCAGTGTTGGGCAGATACTTGACGGAGAGTGGGAGGCAGCTCGAATAACCGGGGAAGGAGGTGGCGCGGGCGGCGATTCAGTGGAGCCCCATGCCGCTACTGGCGATGGCGGCGAGATCGAGCTGACTAAAGAAACGGGCGACGCTGGAGCTTGAATTGAAGGTCCGGACTTGTCTTTTCCTGTGTGTAAAGTTCGGTCACTCTGGCCAATGTGTTTTACCCTCGTAATTGACAACATCCTTTGCATGGTAGCGCGCCTAATGTCGAAGAAACGAGCGAGGGTGTCGCGAGTACGTGCCACGATTCTTGGCCCAAGATCAGCACTTATCGACAGACGCCACGACCAGTCCGCTTTGTATCGTTGTTGCAGGTGAATGTCTATTTTAAGGAGCGTTGTTGCAATCCATTTATAAACCGAAGTGCTAGCTGAAGAAAACTGAGGATTATTACTACGGTAATTGGTGATTATCGTGTCTATCGCAGCTACTAATCGAAATTGACTTCGGGGTTTAAGGCGTCGAGTGCAGGTGATTCATAGTTGGTAAAGAGAGCGTATTGATAAACCAAGTGAGGAATAGACGGCTTGAATGTTCTCGATCTGCAACCGAGTAACTCTTGTATCATTGCGGCGTTCTCTTCTACGAGAGCAACCGAGTCAGAACAGATTGCCAATGTTTACCACAACTACTTCAACTTACCTATGGTAGTGAGAAGGATTTTACTGTCCTTCGAACGCAGTAGTAACTTAGCGGTTTTTGCATAGAGCTCCCACACCTCACGGGTGATAAAAGGAGGATCGACTAGGACGAAATCGAAGGTGCCGACTAGTTCCGACGGTATATCATCGGGTTTGTTGAAGTCGAAGGGAACGAAATGTTCACCCTCAGATGCAAATTTGGGGTCGAACTGGAGAACACAAGCCAACGCGGATAAGTAAAGTGATAACCTCTGAATAGTGAAAAAGCACCCACATCAAACAGAAAGCACTCTCTTTGGCTTAAGTCGTCATTCTGCTGTGTTTGAACGGCAAAGTAGACACTTGGAGTCGATAGGAAAGCGATACGACCGCCACTTTCCGGTGTCTCTACGATGGCTTCCTTGGCAAGTGTAGCGACCGTATCTGCCGAGTACCAGTACTGATTTAGCTCCTCCTTCTGCACCAACGTACCAACCCGACTTAGCTCGCAGCACACCACTGTAAAAAGAGGACAAGAGTCTATACCTCTGGAAACTTCTGCCAGAATGAACGCGCGTGCCGCTTCTGCGTAGCTTCCCCATTCATCGTAAGCCTCCCACTTTGACAGTGTTTGGAAACAAATAAGAAACGACTTTTCTACATTTATCCTGATTTCTAATCTACTTTTTCAAAATGGCCAATGATCCGATCTTGGCATAACTGTTCGACCGCCCTGGAGAACGAATCAAACCGACACGGAGAAGCTGATCGAGAACGGTGCTTGATGACTCTCTCTTGATCGGTGCTTTGGAAGAACGTTCAAGGGAAATGGTACGGACCAGCTCCTCCGACTCGAACGGCTTGCGCTCCAGTACACTTTGAACCAACACTCTCTGGAGACGCTGGTAGGACGAATTCTTCTCGCATCCGCCCATGCACGAACATGTTCCGCCGTACTCTAGTGGTAAATTCTCAGCGTCGATGAACTTTAGCAACGCTGTGGCAGTCTCGCTATCGGTCAGAATGTTGGTTTTCGCACGCGTGGCCTCGTTCAGCAACGGCTTCACACCTTTCCACGCCATCCCGAACCACGACGGCACATTCACGATGAAGATCTTGAACGAACGTTGCGGGTAATGACGCTGCATCACACCCGTGCAACGACGGATGAACTCGAACACTTCGCCGCCCATGTCACGCATGCCGATGCCTCGCGCGTCCAGGATGATGCACATCTTCTGCGTCTCACTCGCAGCACACGCGTCACACGGACACATGTGTTGAGCCGCGTACTTGAGCGCGAACTCCATGGCGAATAAATAGTGTTTGAACAGTGTGTCCAGCGAGACGCCGAGTTTCTTAAGTTGCGCGATCTTGATAGAGCCGACCTTCTCGATGTACAGAGGATGTCCGAGTTTGTCGTGCTTGTGGAGGAATTGCGTGTAGTGCCTGGAGTAAAACAGAACTTTGTCATTTAGAGGCATTGGAACAGGTGAGCCGGGGCGCACACGTACGTCTTGATAGTGTCGTAGTGCGTCTGCGGCGCCGCCAGGATACTGTCGACCTTCATTTGCTTCCTCCACATCATCGTGGCCTGGTAACGCTCCAACGCCTTGGAAACGTTTCCATTCTCCGCAACCAGGAACGCCGCAGGAATCTCCATATTACTTGCGACGTCTGCTATGCCTATCCGACCTGAATGTGAGCCTTTCTGAAAGCAACACCACAAAGGATTCATAAGCATGTGCTGAACGTATCGGCCATTTGCGATTCCAAACACTCACCGCAAGTGTCTTGTGCCAGACCATGTGTGTACACTCGTTCGCCTGATACTTTTGCCACCTGAGTTTTAGTGAAGCGTATTGTTGCCAAATGAGTTTTTTAAACGGTTGCAAAACGTTTTTTACATTTTTTCACACACGAACGTCACTATCTATCATGGCGTCCTGACGTTCTCCGTCGCATTTGTCGGCTGGTTGTCGAAGTCTGGACTGGCTTCCTGCTTGTTGCGAGGCGACACAATGGGCGAGCGCTGGGGGCTCGCAGCCGGTAGTGGCGTCTTAAGTTTCAACTGGTCGATCGCCGCGGTAATGGCGTCCACCCAGTTGTTCAGAACGTACGCCGTGGGGGCGTACAGCAACAGTGAGTGTCCATTAGCAGCCATCAGCGGTGTGATGATCTCGAAACTGTTGTTCTGTTTCGTTGTCTTCTGCACAATCGTATCATGAGTCAACGACACAATCTGGTAGATCTCCGAGTCCAAAGTCTTGGCGAAGCGTAGGAACTGAGGATGCAGAATGAAAAGCTGACGATGCCAGATGGGGTTGAACTGCTTGTGACGCAGGGAACGCTTCAGCAAATACCCGGCTTTCAACACTTCCTCGCTGAAGAACCCAGCAGGGATGGAGCGACAGAATCCTTCATCATCTACGCCGTCAAGTGTGAAGCCGTCGTCGCTACTGCTTCCAAGACGGAAGAGTTGGTCCAGAACTGCAGTAGCAGATGTCTCGCGTTTGATTGGCCCCATCACAGGCGCAGATGATGCCGAAGTCTCTGTAGAAACCTCTTCTTCACTACTAGATCTGCTCTCTCCTGAACGTTCGCGCTCGATCTGTTGGAGCAACTGGTCGAACTCGAATGGCTTGCACTCCAGTACACTCTTGACGAGCGCTTGTTGCAGAAGTTGATACGACGAGTTCTTCTCGCATCCGCCCATACACGAACATGTTCCGCCGTACTCTAGTGGTAAATTCTCAGCGTCGATGAACTCTAGCAGCGCTGTGGCAGTCTCGCTCTCGGTCAGAATGTTGGTCTTCGCACGCGTGGCCTCGTTCAGCAACGGCTTCACACCTTTCCACGCCATACCGAACCACGACGGCACATTCACGATGAAGATCTTGAACGAACGTTGCGGGTAATGACGCTGCATCACACCCGTGCAACGACGGATGAACTCGAACACTTCGCCGCCCATGTCACGCATGCCGATCCCTCGCGCGTCCAGGATGATGCACATCTTCTGCGTCTCACTCGCAACACACGCGTCACACGGACACATGTGCTGAGCCGCGTACTTGAGCGCAAACTCCATGGCGAATAAATAGTGTTTGAACAGTGTGTCCAGCGAGACGCCGAGTTTCTTAAGTTGCGCGATGTTGATAGAGCCGACCTTCTCGATGTACAAGGGGTGCCCAAGTTTGTCGTGCTTGTGGAGGAATTGCGTGTAGTTCCTGTATAAATCAATCACAGATTAGCAACTAGAACACAGAATGTCTGCGTGTACGTACGCTTTGATCGTGTCGTAATGGGTCTGCGGCGTGCATAGAATGGAGTCTGCCAACGCCTCCTTCCTCCACGCCAACGTGGCTTCATATCGCTCCGCCGCCTTGATAACGTCGCCACTTTCTGCAACCAAGAAAGCCGGCGGGACTTTCATTGACGCCATCTTCTGCAGTGACTTCAGTCCACTATCGATGTTCTCCACTCGCTCCGATTCTGAGGCTTCAAGAGCCACGATCGTAAAGTTCCAGTTTCCAAGAAAGTAGCGTGAATGCTCTTCGTCCGCCGGCTTGATCTGTCTGGCCGTGACCACCTTGCCCGGGAAGAAAACTTTCACCAGGAAGACCACGACTGCGGCTCCAAGACCAACGTAGACAGCAGGAAGCACCACCACCGACCCAAACACGTGAGTAAACACCGACGCTGCAGCCAAATAGGCAAGGACAATAATACACGAAAGCTTGAAAATTTGTCGATAAGTACCGCGGAATGTGCCTCGAATGTCCACCTTCTTTCGACCTAATGCGCGAGTGGCACGAACAAGAACACGCATGGGGCGCTTTCCATTGAGCACCACACGATAGAACGCCCGACCTTCGTGCCTCAAGAACCGTTCACACGGTACACGCACACGTCCTCCGTCAGAGAAGCGCAGTCCCAGCATCATCGAGCGTCGAACGTCCTGTATCAACAGTGGACAGCCCACTTCGACGTCCGTTCTGGTGGCTACCAACACCCTAGCACTTGTAGTATGCAATCCGTTCTCATCAGTGCTCTTATCGTCACTCTCTAGACTGCTACAGGTTAGATCAGCTTTTTTCACGTCCTTAATGTCGATCGCCTTGATTGACGGGAGTTCCTGGCCGTGCATCTCGAACAAAATTGTTTTGCCACGACCGTCGCACCGTAAGAAACCTCCTTGCACTGGCTGCGACTCCTGCTGCTTGCTAAAGTGCGTGATGACGCGGTTAAACTTGGATCGCACTCGGTTCGAGTCCGCCACGTCAATAATGATGTTCCGGTCGCCGTAGTACATGACCCTGCCCATCGTCCGTAGCGCTGCAGTGGCCAGATGCAGCTCCACTTGAGTCGGTTTACCGAACGTCGTTTCTGCCATCGTCTTGGTCGTTTTAGCTAAATTACCAAAAAAAAGAAAATTGTCTTCTTCGCCCGACGACTCGGAGCTGCTGTCGTCTCCTTCGTCTCCTGTCTGTAGCTGGTAGAACGACAAGTACATTTCACCCGGCGTATTGGCCTCTTTTGGACCAAAACACCCATTTTTGGTACTGGGTCCGACGCCCATTTTATTGTTCCAGACTTTTCCGTCCGCATCCACGAGCACCACGACGTCTCCGTAACTAACAGGCGTCCCTACGCCCAGTCCGCAGTAGGACAAAATAACGAAAGTTGACGGTTTAAAGTGCTTTTCTCCACACGCAGCGATGGGCGGGATGCAGGCCAGCTCGTCCTGCTTCTGCGGGTTCTTGGAGGCCAGGAACCGCTTGCTGCCTTCGAATGTACCGACGTATCCCCTTGATTCCTCGGCGCCGGCGTATTTACTGCGCGCGAAGAGGCGGATGGTGTCGCCGTACCGCACTGCCACATGGGGCGGCGCGCTCTTGGAGACCGTATCTAGTGGCATGGAGCCCCGCACCGCCACGTCGTGCTTCGGATACGCCGGAGGGTTGAAGGTGGGCATTGTACGGGTAGCTGTACGCGGCCGTATCTCCACAGGCCCGGGTGGCGTGTCCATGGCGCTGCTGCTGTCTCCGCTGGCACTGGAGCTACGACGGAAGCCGATATTGATGCCGCCGCGTCCGCTGCCATCGTCATCTGGCTTTGTACGTCGCCGCCGTGAGCGCAGCGACACACCTGAGAAGAGCGTGTTCCCGTTGGGCGGCGCGGTCACGCCCTTCACGGCGCCCAGGAGCTGCATCGATCCGCTTGGAAGGGACGAGTCCGCGCTGCGACGGATTTCACTGTGAGTTCGTCGTTGCCCTTGCTCTCCCCACCGACTAGTTTTTTACCGCACGCGATGCGCACCCGGATAAGATTGTAAACTTTATAGCCTTTAGAATATAGTTTGTAATTTTATTAGTATTTGAAAAAAGACTTGAAGAAAAGAGACTTTGATAGATGATAAAACACTGATGCTGTTTTGTCTTAATATGATGCATGATACGGTAATTGATCGCTGACGGTTTTTCGAGGTCAGCACCGGGACGATTCCTGTGACGTGTGGCTGACCAATTGTGGCTCTGCAGCATCGCTCATCGTCACGAAGGCGCTACATTTTTCGCGACGTGGATCCACGCGCGCGGTGACGTCGTGGTGGAGCGTCCATGGAGAATACCCGGTAGCGCTACAGCGTTGCGGTATACTGTAGGCGGGCGGCGAGTAGACCGCGAGATCGATGTCCGGCATCAATCTCGGGCATCATGCTCGCAGGGATCTCGTGTAACGTTAGATAGACTTTGTCTGGAAGCCGCAGAATCCTAGATAACGATGAATACTTCAGTAGATCAGGTACAGCTATCGGCTATCAGCTCCATGAAACGCGATACGTGTAGGCTGTATAGCTTCGCCGCTCAAGCTTTGGCGGCATAAGCGATATGCAGTATTGCTGCCATAGTGTGCAGTTGAAGCCTCGTCTTGTTGGTAAGTACTTCGAAGTACTGTACAGTAGGAGCATCTTGACGATCACTGCATTAGCGTGTGGTTGCCCGCCAATTCTTCTAGAAAAAAAGTTCAACCCGCCGTTTTTGAGGTTGCCACCACACCAATTCTTAATGTAGCCATGACAGGGGCGAAGGAAGGAGGTGGTGCATGTTTAATCAAACGAGCTCGCTATCAAATCGATAAAATCAAATCACATGTATCGGGGGTAAAATGACTATGCAGGCCGGCCAACGAAGGGGCTCTCGCTGCTTAGATCAGACAGAGAGTCCGCCCGTTGTTCGAGCACTCCTCCTACTTCCTGGGCGGCGTCGCGGGACGTTGCGTGCCAAGGCCGTTGTAAGCGTAGCGCTGCTTCTTCTCGGCTGGCTTAAGGATCTGGAACGAGCACATGAGCGTCTCGTCGACCGACATCATCGCACCGGCGTTGTCGAACTCGCCGCAGTAGTTCGGTGCGGAGAACAACGTGACCAGCTGGCGCTTGGCGAAGAATTCATAGCCATCCTCCACCACCTGGTGAGCTCTGCAGATCAAATCGAGGTCGTGACGCTTGAGGAACTGACTCACAATGTCCGGGCCGAACGTGAACGACACGCCGCGGTCGTTCTCTCCCCAGCCCATAATGTCCTTGTCGGGGTCGGACCACAGCAGATCGCAGAGCAGACCCGTGTCGGGGACGTCTGTGGGGCGCACGAAGCGCTTGATCTGTTCCATCTGACTCAGCTCGGGGGACAGACCGCCGTGCATGCAGAAGATCTTCTCATCCACGATAGCAGCCACTGGCAGGCAGTTAAAGCAGTCGGTGAAGGTCTTCCAGAGCTTGATGTTGTAGCGGCGCTTGCACTCGTCATAGAAGCCGTAAATTCGGTTAATCGACGCGCACTCGTGGTTGCCACGCAGGATAAAGAAGTTCTCTGGGTACTTGATCTTGTAAGCCAGCAGCAGGCAGATGGTCTCCAGACTCTGTTTGCCACGGTCCACGTAGTCTCTGCAAGCAATAAACCCAGTTAGCTTTCTCCTCTACGCAAACAGCAGTGCCTGATTATCGCTTTCATCTCACCCGAGGAACAGGTAGTTGGCGTCCGGAGGGAACCCGCCGTACTCGAACAAACGCAGCAGATCGTAGTACTGGCCGTGGATGTCACCTGTACGCGCGTAAGAATATCGTTAGCGAGCTTGTTATTAAACAGCGCGGATCCACGTCCGATTCGGCACGCGGATTTCTTAAAAAGAAGGTTGCGTAACGCACCGCAAATTTTGATGGGCGCCTCCAGCTCCACCAGAATGGGCTGCGCCAGAAAAACCTCGCGTGCGTGAAGGCACAGCCCGCGGATCTCGGTCTCCGTGAGATTCACCTGCTTGCCGGGGCGCGCGCCGCGCACACTTAGCAGCTTCTCAATGATGCTGTCCACGTCGATGGGCTCTAGTCCGGACGACGCCATGGCTCTCCCTTCGTTTGCTTCTCTGCCTTTCCTTCTTCGGTCTTGGCGGGACTGTAAGGCCCCTGGATGTTTCACGTGAGGACTGGAGATTGGATGTAAAGGAAATATTAAGCACTATTTTAGCCAATTGACAAGCGTAAAACAGAACAGCTGTTTCTAGCGCGCAGTACACACTTGTCTCTCACTCCTCCTTTGCAACTAGCAATTGCGGAAAGTGGAACGAGGCTGCTGCTCTAAGTAGATGACGCTGGCTGCCATCAGTATGGGAATGCAGTATTTCAATGATGCTGGTATTCAATACCAGGAGCAGCCCGGCCTTGGTGTCGATTAGTGATCGAGTCGTAAAGGTTGAACAAGCTCTTCAAATACAAATGCGACAGAGTGTTGTGGCTCGCCAGTACCAAGCGTATGATTTAGTTTAATTGAATGCCATTAAGTGCAGTATGTCATAGGCTATGATTCATCGGTGTAGCTGTTCCAGGAGCTTGGAATATCGCCGGCACTGCCTTCGAGTCAAAATTCGACGGGCTCCAGCGCCGAAAGAGAGTGACTATATTGACCGACTGAGTTAACCTTCCCCTACAAATTTTAGACGCGCTCCCATCCGTACGATGTATACAGTGTGTACCATGTATACCATTCAGCCTGACAGCCACTAAATTTCGAACAGCGTAACGATCGTAAGGCTGCAGGAGAGGGAAATGGATCTCCGCGTCCAAGCCGTCCAGAAGAGGCCGCTAACTGGGGCTGTCGCGCGCGAGATCGATGAGAGCGACAGCAGCGATTCTGAGCCGCCCCGAGAAGACTCCCAGGACGACGTCTGGCTCCCAACACCCGCTGCGAGCGGTGCTGGTTCGGGTGATGGAGAGTCTTCCGAGGCTTTCAGTGTGTCGGATGTAACCGATTTAACCAGCAGCACTAGCGAGGGTGGTCCCCCCCACACGCGTGGTGGCATTACCACCCAACACGGTGGAGTTCGCCTCGTGGGAGGCCTTCGACGAGTACCTGGCTGCGCATAAAGCCCAAACGTTTCAAGTATGCGAGATTCATTCAAGATTTAATGAACGGATGTCTGACCCCGCTGTCCCACTAATTTTGTGCTATCTGTCTGTAGATATTCAGGGCGCGCTCTAATACCAGCGTGGCAGAGCGCAATGCCAGGATTGACAAGTCACAGTCAAAAGCAGCTAAAATACCAGCATCGTGGGAACAGTATTCGAGGACGTTCGTTTGTACGCACTCAGGGAAGTAAAAGTCTGTAGCTACGAAGCGGCCACGCCAAGAGACTCGAGCACAGGGCTGCAAGGCGCAGGTACATATATGTCGGCCTGGTCGGGACTGGTCGGGTCCAGTCGGGGTCAATCGGGTAGTTCACTGACTGACAGTGGTTATATATGCTCTACAGATTAATGTCTGCGTCCAGGTAGTTGATACAAAGAATACGACGTTTGCTGTGCGGATCACTCGTTGCCGACTAGAGCACAATCATCGTCTGACAAGCCTGGCTTTCTCTTCACATCCATCGAAACGCATTATCCTCGACGAGTCAACGCTAACTACAGTTGATCTACTTCGAAAAAAAGGTGTCAAGAAGTCTGGTATCATCAGCCACCTAATGAAGCACACCGACAGTAACCCCACCCCAAAAGATGTGCAAAACCTCGTCCAGAAACTTAAGGCTCGCGAGCAACGCGATGGGCCTTCAAGCACCGACAAGCGGCTTAAGAAGTGGATGAAGCAATTCGGTGATGTGCCAGGGAACGTTGGTCGGGTTTTCTTGGACGACGTTGGTGGCAAGGTAGAGTGAATGCTTTTATCAGGTCTAATGTCAATTCATGAAGTTAACATTTGTTGTTTCGTGTGTTATTGGATACGCAGAAAGTTGCGACTTGCATCACATTGCAAACAAAGCACATGCGAACACTATTCGACCAATTTCCTGAAGTTCTGATGATTGAAGCAACGCACGGGACGAACCGGTCTAAGTATAAAGGTTTTTTATTCATGGCACACGATACGTTCGGCAAGGGCCAGTTTGTGCAGCACGCGCTGCTTCAAAATGAGCGCTATGAAACCCTGTTGACAGCGATAGAGGAATTCAAAGCGAACAATCCTGCGTGGTCAAGACTTCAATGTGTGCTGGTGGAAAAGGATTTCACAGAACTGTCCGTACTTGAAAAGGCATTTCCTGGGGTGACAGTCTTACTTTGCCAATTCCACGTGCTGAAGTACCTACGGGAAGAGATTGCTTCAGCTGACTATGGATTTTCGAGGTCTCAGAAAGAGCAACTTGGCGGTGTTGTGAGCTTACTTGTCTACGCAAAAACGGAAGCAGAGTACGACAAACGCTTCCAGTACATGGTGCATCTTGCGTCGATTGGTTATGCCGGTCCAGTTGCGAATGATCGATCTGGTATCGTAGTCGGTGTGGGGTCGGGCTCAGTCGGTGTGGAGTCGGGCTCAGTCGGTGTGGAGTCGGGCTCAGTCGGTGTAGAAGTCACAGATCATGAACTGGAAGATATTTCCTCTCGCATTGATGAACATCCTTTTGTGTACTTTCGAAAGAATTGGGACAGCTGTCGTGAGCTCTGGTGTGTACATAGGCGCCAGAGTACCGTCACACTCGGCAATAATACCAACAATCGCCTAGAAGCCTCTTGGAAGCAGCTTAAAGAGTGGGTGGATTCGTTTATGGGAGTGGATGAGTGCATCGCTTCGACCATGTACTATCAAACGTTACAAGAGCGATTGTTCATTGCAGAAGTATACAAGAATGTGACCGTCCAGCATCCTGATTACGACAGCGAGATGACACTGGTGGCGAATATTGTCAGTGAGCATGCTTGTGAACTTATATTCGGGCAGTATTCGTATGCTATTGGATCTGCGTCGTACACGTTTTATGAGGGGTGCCCAGACGTGTATTTTATCAAGAGTATATCTACAGCTGATGACGCGCTGGACGAGATGAACGCCGAGTATTCAGTTACTAAGCGCGAATGGATGTGCTCCTGTCTATTCATGTGCACGAGATTGCTACCCTGTCGACACGTTTTCTACCTCCGAAAGGCGCTTTGTCAGGAGACAGTTATCTTCACACTACTGTTAAATAGGCGGTGGCTGTTGTCTACTGTGCGTGCGGCGATTGAAAATACAAGTGTCGTCTCTGACACAGCGGAGCCAAAGTCTTTTGAGGTAAGAAATGTGATATCCTCACAGGCGAGACCGTGGTACTCGAACCGCAAATATCGTGAAGCACTGCAATTTGCATCCCAGATTTGTGACACCATGGCGGGACTCAGCATGACGCAGTATAAAGAAGCGATGCAGTATCTTCAAAGTGTGACTGGGCGGTTCAAGAGAGGCAAATTCGAGGATCCCGGTGTGCCAATTTTACCACCAGCTGAATCTGAGCGTCACGGTTCGACTAGCAACTCGCGCGATGATGCGCTGTCGCCGCCACTACTTACTGGTCACGATCCGACTGCACGGCCGACTCACCACGTGTCGGCAGAACTGCTTACTCGTCATGCGGATACAGCAAATGTGAGTCATGTATCCCCAACTGCCTCTGAGTCTGACCATGCCACAAGCTGCAACTCCGTCGAAACAACACAGGTTGCAGATTTATCGGGCCAATCGGGCTCGATCGGGGGCATATCAGGTCCAGTCGAGGAAGAATCGGGTCCAGTCGGGGAAGAATTGGATCCAGTCGGGGAAGAATTGGATACAGTCGGGGACGTTGAATTTAGCACACTACCACCAGCAACGGAAGACACGCCATTTGTGATAGCGAGTCCCCTAAGATCGCGAGGACGACCAAGACAGACAGCCAGATCAAAGAAGGCAGCTCGTAAAAAAACTTTCATTGTAGCTCAAGAAGACTCAGAGCTGTACGCTTCAAATTCAAGCTTGGCGTCCGTGGATGCAGCGCTGTCTTCGGATGCAACATACATATCGTCAGCTGCAGTTGTGAGCAAGTTCAAAATGGTGGAGTATGGCTTCAAGTTCAAGACACCTACAGCACGAACAATATCGAGCTTGCCACCCACAATCGCTTTGATACCAGCAGAGTCGATCACGCGGATATTGCGCCCTGAACAAATTGCCATTTGCAGGAAAAAGGTTTCGGCTCTGCAGTCGAAGCACAAAGACCTGGCAGAAAGTGCCGTGCCGCTGGATATTCCAGGCTTTGGTGCGTACTCAACGAGTTTAATTGGGATCATGAATAGGTGGCACAGGGCAATAAAGGTGGTAAAACAGGTCGAGAAGGCTGTGAAGTGGGTCGAAACCATTGACTTCACACTCCCAATGCCTGCTCCGTTTTAAGTGGTGCTACAGACGGATATGCTGTCAAAGATACGTTGACGAAATCATGCCATCACTACAACACTTTCTAACTAAACGTTATGTTTGACAAACAGGCAGAAATTCTAGATCTCGTCGAAAAAAACAGCTAAGCGACGATACCATGAATATCGTCATGTCCAAGCTGTTCGGAGAACGAAATGATGTCGTCATTGTGGATCCAGGTGTTATCGATTCTGTAACGGGGTTACATGGTGTGGAACACACAGGGGTACGAAGTACCCGGAGAGTTAACAAACTCTCAGTACATAAGTTGGAGAGTTAACAAGGTCTCTCAGTACGTTGGCTGAAAGCCACACGTTATGCATTTGATTAGGTTTAACTATGCTAGATAGTTAAAGAGATACATTTACCCCTAGGCGGCTTGGCCGCGATAATAGTAAATAAAACACTTCTGGTTTTGAAGCATAAAAGTTAAGGTGTTAACTTTGAGCCCTGGTCTTGGGCTGTAAGTGTCCTTTGGATAAGAAACTTAGTATCACTGACTCTTTGAGTCGAACGTCTTCCTCTGACGCTAAAGCTACGGCAGCCCCGCTGCACTTGGTAGCACTTGTAGTCAATCCCGCTCCTGAGTCGGTTGACTATATCCTCTGCGAGGATGGAACACCCCGTGTTCGCGAATTTGCCCCCGGCGCAGCAGGACGCGCTTACTAAGCTTATGTCCTTGCTTG